CAGTAGCTCCTTCACCATGGCCTCAAGCTATGGTCTGTCTCTTATACACATCTAGATGTGTATAAGAGACAGTATCCGGTCCGCCGCTACGTCCCAGGCTCCCCGCATGCACGAAGAATATGCATTGGTGAAAAATATGGTTCCAACTTTTCTCATCGTCGCTTCGTTATGCAGTGGAACCAAACACCGTCACACGCAACTATGTGCTCAAAAGCAAAAGAGCACAAATGGGGGGGGTTGTTTTTTTCAAAAGAAAAAAAAAGAAAAAAAGAAAAAAAGAAAAAAAAACAAGCATAACGAAAAATATGGGTCAACTTTTCTCATCGTCGCTTCGGCAGAAAGAAGTCGTGCGTCCAGAAAAGAAAAAAAGATTAAAAAAAACACGCATGAAAGGAAAGAAGCCGTGCGCAAAAAGAGAAGGCTATGGACGAGTACTCTACCTCATCATTTCAAACTTAAGGATTAATTCAACACACACAAAAAAAAAAGCTTGTTCCTTTTTCAGAGTTTTATAATTCAAGCACATTTCGACAAACACATTTCGACAAACACATTTCGACAAACACATTTCGACATACACATTTCGACAAACACATTGTGACGAAGCATGTGCAGCAAACGAGTGACCAGACTACAGACGATTCACACAAGCGTTGACAAATCGTCAAGCAGCCAAAAATGTGCCACTTGACAGTTACAGAATTAGAAGCAAAGCTATGATAGCTATCTGCCCCACAACGTAAAAGCAGACGCAACAGCTGATTCAGCCTGATTGCTGACACTTATATAAAAGTCAGTGTGCTGGTAGTTTTTGGCATAATGAATGCCATGTGAGTCGACAAATTCAATGAATGATTTATACCCCCGGAGAGCAAAAAAAAAAAAAAAAGAGATCGACAAACTGACCCAACCCCAAAAAGCGCACACCGCAACATGCAGGCACGCATGCCAAGCCAGAGGCTACGTCGGACAAGTATATATGGGCAAAGCAGGCAGAGGCTACAATGGCAACAGCAGCCACTGAGGGCATACCGCAGGCATTGAAAATTTGAAACCTCTACATGCCGACCACACCCGGTCAGGTGCGGCAGCTTGAACAAGAAGCTCAGCAAGTCGTCTGTCGGTGACGGACGGAATCCGCACGGAAGAGAGGGCAAGCAGCGATGACAACGTTTACGGTAGTCAGACGCAACACTGTCGGCAGGCACGGGAAGAAGACATCGCCAGAGAGTGCAAGAAGCCGTGACAACATCGACGGTAGCCAGACAGAAAACTGCCGGCGGCACAGGAAGAAGAAATCATCAGAGAGCGCTGCAAGAAGCAGAGACAACATCTACGGTAGTCAGACACAAAACTGCCAACAGCACGGCAAGAAGACGTCATCAGCGGCGCGAGAAACCGGGCGGTTGACAAGGCTCTACCCTCCGGTGGGGGATGCACTGTCAGCGTGATCGCCACCATACCCATCTTCCTTTCACTTCTTTCATCCAAATACAGTCGATCGTCGACGCCGTGTAATGGCACACAAGCGGACACCGCCCACATGCTGTATTTTACCCGCCTCCTCATTTGCAGAGATAGCATGCACCGCACTCGGATCAATGCAGGCGATCACCCGCCTTCCCGAGAACGAACCTGTGCAATCACCATCTTTGGCGGCGGACAACCCTTGCCCATCCATTTCTTCCTGAGCAGTGTCTGTGCTTGACCACAAATGAAGCAGAACTCCACCCACCCCTCGAAGTCGTCAAAGAAGCCGCTTTTCTTTTCGCAACAATCTCGACCACCGAATCAGAAAAAATGCATGCATGCCTGCAAGCACTTCTAGGGGTGCTGATCCCACCCCTCGGAGTCGTCACAGAAGCCGCTTTTCTTCTCGCAACAGTCTCCACGACCGAATCGGAAGAAATGCATGCATGCAGGCAATCACTTGCACACTGCACAGATGCATGCATGCAAGCCTGCATCGACCCGTGGGATCAGCATCCCTAGCGCTGGACAACCCTTGCCGTGTCTTTCTGACGAGGATCAACAAGTGTGATAAGAGCATCCGCAGCGCAGGACAACCCTTTGCCCACTTCTTTCCAACCAGTGTCTGTGGTCCCCACCGCAAACGAAGCAGACCTCCACATGCATGCACACACACGCATGTATGCGCGCTCACTGCCACTATCAAACAGAAAGGTCCGGGACCGATACTTGGTGAAGCTCGAGCGTACCACACTGTCTGGCTCCGGAAAGAAAGGGTGAGCAAGAAGAACCCCGAAAACACGGACGCAGATTCTCTACAACTGCAAGGCCTCTCATACGTGCTTCAATTGCCATCTGTGTCCTTACTCCACGCTGTGGAGTGTGTAAACAGCCAGGCCATGCAAAACAAGGCGGGACCCCTTTACCGTCGGTGGGATAATTGCCCGGACGTGCTTACTGGTCATTGGATGGACACCAGCGAAAGAGGTAGACTGCGAGTGCGGCTGGCCAGCAGAGCAGCATGCGCATAAGAGTCCCTTGGAAATCCGTATCCATTGGATCTGATGAAGCCTTCCATTTTCACAAAGACATCGACAATGCCGTCTGTCTGACAGCCTGAGCTTCTGTGCAGGGCGAGCACCCAGACAAGTCATTTGGGCCCCGCCCGCCAGCATTGGACGACGTAACCTTTGACGCGATCCCGCCCTGCAAAAGCCCGCAAGTAAAACTGGGCCCTCTAGTTTGTGGACAAGCACAGCTATGGCACCAAAGGTTCAGTCACTTACCCCACAGAAAGTAAAGTTGTCAACCGACTTAAAAAAACTTCCTCCTCTCCCTCCCAACTTCCTCCCCACCGTAACCAAAAACGTTTTTGATGAATGGGTCTCGTAGCACAACCTGCATAAGGAGCAAGAAATTGAGAGCAGCAGGATCTGATGCAGTGGCCAACTGACTAAAACAAACTTCCTCCTCTTCTTCCTCCCACCTTTTGCAATCGCCCACACCTCAAAATCGTGCTCTATAGAAAGACACAACATTCTCAAGACTGGCCTCATGGAACTGGTCCCATGGAACTGCTCCTCTACAACTGCTCGCATGGAACTGGCTGGTCCCATGGACCTGGTCCTATGGAACTGATCCCATGGAACTACTCTCATGGACCTGGTCCTATGGAACTGACTGGTCCCATGGACCTGGTCCTATGGAACTGATCCCATGGAACTA